TCTAGATCGCGCAAAATTGGGCGTTTATCAATTTCAGTGTTTTTTTGTTTATTGTTGTCACTGATAGTAATATCGATTTTACTAAAACCTACATTTTGACGAATTCAATCTATAGTTAAATCATTGATGAAAATTTTATAGCGATCAGACGAGGATAAAATCACTTTTAAAGGGATTGAAAAATATCAGTATGGCCTCTGAAAAGCTGTATCGAAACACCTTGAATTAACGAGATTTCCCATAACAAAAGGGTTAATTCTATCCCTTCTAAACCACTGTTATTATTTTGTTGCTGCCATAGTTTAAAACGTTATCGAAGTAGCAGGCTGGAAACAGTTTTATATTTGATGGAGTTGCAAAAGTGATCCACTGTTTTTAATGGCTCGAGAACAGAAAACATGAAAACAATTCTGATTCGAGAAAACGTAATGTGCGCAAAAACGGCACAAAGATTTCATTTCCTAGGTCGTCGATTGTAAAGAATACAGCAACTTAGCAAATGCAGCGAACTTCTTTAATGCACTCAGCCATAAAAATAAGAGTCTACAACTCAACAATTACAACAACTCAACGATAAAACAGCTGCCCAAAGTAAGATGTTCAATTTAGAAATATTTATTCAAAATTGAAAATGAAACGACCACTAATGTAATCAACAAAAACCATTAACGTTGGCTTTGGAACGCCGAATCGGAAAACATGGAATATAAGCCAATTGCAAAAAGAAGCCTGAAAATACTTTAAAGCTGCACTGACCACTACTCCATGTAATTTCATACTCATATCACACGTATGATTTATTTTTGTTCGTTAGTGGGAAATCCGAATACAGTCAACACTCTCACAGCGACCACTTCTCGTAAGCGACCACCTCCTGTACGCGACCACTTTGCACAAAACCGTTTTGCTTCTCAGTCTAATAAAATGTACATGTAAACACTCTCGCAAGTGACCACTAGCTGAATTTCTTAACGACTGCGACCACTTTTTAAACCACAAACTCGACATAGTCCTTTGTGTTTCTGCTCGTAGTAAGCGACCACTCGGCATGATCACGAATGATTATAAGAAAACCATTGCACGAACGTCATGATCAAAACGTTCAGATAGGTTTTAAACAGTGCCGACCAAGTGTGCTGACAGATTATAGCAGTTGACTTACAAAAAAGATGACTGTAGTGCGATCTTTAGGGGGAAAGGCGTAT